AAGCAAATATTTTTCTGTGCCTATTAAATGACAAGTTTCATGAAATTATTTAATTGCATGTCATTAGCAATAAATTATCACATAACTATTGATTAAGTTTTCTTTAGATAATTCATAAATCAATAAATGTGTGGTGAGTAGGGACAAATTTACAATTCTTATTTCAGATAAAGTAAACAGCAATAAGCATTAAATACAATTAAATAAAATTAAATTTTATGATGTAGCATTTTGAAGTGGAACTATCTCTGTCCATTTTTAAACTGTTTTTTCCAATTATAAAAAAAAAAGTGGAATGTGAGTTTGAAATGCATTTAGATTAGTAGAATTATTTCATGGCCTCACAGTGCTGCTGAAATACAGTATTAGCATAACTGTTACAACTCATCCATGCAGGATTAATTCTGCAGTAATTAAATAGCTTCCTATGATCGGACATGCCCATTGAATAGTCATTTCACTATACAAGTGGGTATTGCAACCCACACTGTCCAGTAACAGTTTTTCTAGTCTCGAAGTGAGTTTGTTGAGGCTTCCTTGAGCTTCCATTAATTTAATATGAAATCCCAACTTCAGGTGAAGTTGAGAACCTATTATTTGAGGGCATAAAATCCTGTTTATATATTATACTGTTTGTTTTCAGAAAGCAAAGATCATAAGCTTGTCAGATTTTTCTGTTTAAATTTAATTGTTCTGATTATATTTAATTGAGTTGGATCACTTGAAAATAATTTACTAACATTTGTGTGTTTATTAGGCATTTCAGTTAGATTTTTGAGGAACTATTTAATGTGTTTTCTTTTAGAGAAATTTGCTATTTCTGTATTAAAAATATAAATAATGTTGTGATATTCAGGTTTTGAATAAATAATCTTTGGTTTTGTCACAATCTCTACAAGCAAATCTTTTTGGTGAGAGAATTTCTGTGTTGAAATGACTTGCAGTATGATGTGTGGAAAAATTAAGGAACATTTTCTCCTTTAGCTATTGCATTTCCTAGACCCTTCTTGCGTGAGCAGGCTTTCTCTCTAAGTTCTTTATTCTTCTAGGACTTGTAGTCACTTCGGTGGGAATTTCAGTATATCTGACTGTGTCCTTGGGTGAAGTTCCTAAGTCAGAGACTGAACGGAAAATTCCTTATTCCAGCTTTCTTCCACTCCCCCCCCCCCCCCCAATACCATTTGGAATGAGCAGGTTAGGTAATTTCAGCACACACTCCATCAACAATTTTTCCTGAATTTCATTTTCAAGTTGGACAAAAGTGTTGTTAAATCATACACATGTCCAAATAGCAAAACCTGACTATCCCGGTAAGCTTTGGTAAGTGGGGAAACCCACACAGGGTTTTTTTTCTACCAATAAGCTTTAGGACACAAATAATACAGAAGCCGAGAGAGTTGACTTCCAGATCTCCGAGTAGTCCTTCAGAAGAAAATTGTTTGTTAAGCATCCCAGTGACAGGGTTTATGTACCACATGAGGAAAATCCAGACTCTTTATCTCCCCCCCCCCCCCCACCCCCAGTCTAAGTTGATGTTACTTGTCATTTGAAATGTATGTACACAAGCTAAACCTGCTTTTTTTTCTTTGATGAATACAGCACTGCTGAAGATATGTCGTAAAACTTGGTTTTTATTGCAGATGTACACAATGAATCATAAACTCCAGCATGCTCAGATCCTGCCTATGTGGGCTCAGCAACTAAAACACTGAAAATATTTTATTTATGGTGGGGACCTATAGAGCATAACTATAGTTATCTTTAGCTGCATAACAATGTACTTGATTACAAATACATCTGGTATTGAGGTATTGATGACCTCTCTGTATTGAGGTCATTCTGAGCACAACTACATAAAGTAGATTAGTGCTTATATTGATGTTCTTTATCCCCTTGCTCCGTTTTCTTAGCCATTTGGATAGTTCGGAGAATGTGATTCTGTAAGGCAAAAAAAATCAAAATTTATGGTGAAAGTACATAAGGAGACTGTACCATTTAGCCATTGGAATGTCTGTGCTTCAAAGCTGAGAATTGTTTTAAATCAGATTTTGAGTGATTCAGAATTCTCTTGAAAATATGAAGGATCCATCTAGAAACAAACTTTTAATTCTGTGTATTAGCAGAGTCAAGTTATGATGACCTTGGATATTCTCTAAACCAATTTGTAATGATTAATGTCAGAGCAGTTCTTTTTCAGATAAAAAGTAATGGCATATGATGTATTGGAGGCCACATTAGATCATTCTGATGATTCCTTCTGGTCAAAGTCTCTGAAGTTGGAAAAAACTGACCTGGAGTTAAGCTTAGGAATAAAAAGAGGGATAACAGTAAGATGAACTCAATAAAATCTCAATATAGTATAATGGAGCATATAATTTGTCAAAGTTTCACATAAATCACAAAAACTTTCATTCTCACTGTATGTATGTTTTTTGTTTATGTGTACACCACTGAGGTATGTAACAAGTCAACAGATAGTTTACATTTTATGTTTGTCATGTCGTGTCCATCCCCCACCCCCCTCCATATCCAGCTTTATGCATCATGGGCTTCATAAATTCCTATATGCTAAAATGAAAATAGTTTATTGGCAAGGATAAAGCAAAAATTTTGGGCTCCAATATGGTTTAGCTACATGTAATCTCAGAGGATTTATATTTAAGTTGTGTAGGGGCATTATATTCTTATTAATATTATTATTATTAATGTTAGTAAATATTAAGTTTTATTGCCTTGGTCATACATATTGCTAGTAGAGTATTTCTGTAGTAGCCAGTGCCTCATTGATGCTGAATTCAAGAAGAGTATTCAGCAGCAAGTTTTAATGATTAGAGTATTGAGCTTTTGTTGTCTTTTTACTGGCCTTAGCTTAGCAGAACTTTGTAATTCAAATAGGTTTATCAGGGTCTAGAGAGATCTTTTAAGAAAAGAGGTGAAGTACATTCACCTGTGTAAAAAATTTGAAATGGTCTTAAAGGATTTTTAAAGGGGAAAAACAGGAAGTGAAGCATGATCTTCCTGTATAGGCAACAAGATGAAATTCTGTGGCAAATTTAAGATGGAACAAGATCAGATCTTGGAGATCAGGAGAAAAATGAGAACAAGACATTGTCTCCACAAAATATAGACAACAGTAGCAGAAGCCCTTGTTTGTTTTTTCCTTAAATGTATCCATAGGTGCTGATTTATTTGTGATTTTTAAAAATGTTTTCTATGATGATAAACAGTTTCTTACTTTCTGCAGCTGAGAAGAGTAATTTTCATATGTGTCAAACTAGGTATTTTACTTCTTTAAATGGCAGTCTGTTCGCTCTGTCCATGTCAGCAGTTATTGTGGTTATAGTGTTAAGAGCTACCTAATTACTTGGAGGTGGATATTAGGGCATACAGAACTTACAGAATGCATGGATTTCAGTGTCCTGCATTGGCTTAGCTGAGAGAAGTCTCTGTATGGTTGTCTACATGCCATGGGAAAAAAAGAAAAGTTAATCCCCTTACAAAGGGAAACGTTTGAAATGCACAAATGAAAAGCTTGGTTGGGAGCTGTGTACTAGTTATTCCTGTGCCTGGAGTTACATGCTTGTTCAAAGTTAAATTCCACTGCTCTTCAGACTCTTGGTGAATATAACCAGTGTTATTTCTTAGTTTAATTATTTTCCTAGTGCCTGTAATGAAGTATGTATAATGGGGAAAACCACGGTTTTGAATTTTTGTGTGCTGCATTTTTGTGCACTATTTGATTATCACATTTAAGGGTTTATTTCTTGGTACCTTCAGAGTAAAGAATTGGAATAGCATCTCCTGCCTAAGATGGGGCAGTGTTGTAAAACTCATAACAGGTAGTTATGGGGTGTGTTGTATTAGGTTAGAGAAAGCTTTTAAACCAATTTGTATCTATATATATATATTTATATACATATATAAAAAAAAAAGCCCAAACAAAAAAATGCTGTCATCATTGGAGACCTAAGCTGTCTCAAAGCCAGATGTGAAATGTTTGTAAGTGCTTTGTTTGTCCTCTGATTTGTGTATTTTATCCTGTTGACCTGTTTTAACTCCTTCAAAAATTATGAGCTATGCCTTCTTTTTACTTTGCATACAATGGACCTGAAGTGTATCCCTTTCTTGCCTTGCAGAGCTTGAGTGCTGGTGTGTTTAAGTAGTTGTATATTGCTTACTAAATCAGTCTAGTTGCTAAAATTTTACTGCAGCTAGTTGCAGACTTTAGCATCCCCATTATGAGAATGTGATGTTCTACTGACAAAAGTGAGCTACATCTTATTAACCCTACCTGCAGGGTAAGGGCTAGGGGTGTAACAGAGAGGTTATGGAGGTTATACTGTGTACGCTTTGATGGGCATGACTTGCAGTGAAAACTTTGGTTTTACTCGGTTGAGTATTACTGTAGCTTGTTAAATAGTTAAAGCCTACTTTACTAACAGAGGAAAAAACTCCTACTGGCAACTTTTTTCTGACTTTCTGAGCACTCTTTAGTGAAGGTGCCTTTTCCTGTGAGACCATATGGGTTTGCAGCAAGAACTTTGAGTATATGGTCTAAGCATTGTTTGTAAATTACAGCAGAAGGTTAATTTATTTCAGATTACTGTGTGTTACTGTGGAGAATAGCATTGAAAGTGGTAGTTGGGATACTTTGATATAATTTCTCAGTTCTTTTCAAAAATCTTTTAGTTGCTTTTGTTCTGTAACATTTAAATAGGATTTACTGCGTTGTATGAAATAGTTCAATAGGTAGGAGGGATATCAAGATAAATAGTTGCATGGAAATCATAGAATCTGTTGATTCCTTCATTATTTTCCCTTAACCAGGTTGTCTTATATTATGGCTTCTTGGGATTTCAATCTCAAGTGTAATCAGGAAGGAGTAAAATGTGTCCAGCACAGGATAAAATAAAAACACTTAATTTCCACTCTTCATGAATCTCTTAAACATCTTAAAGAAGCAAAATAGGGCACAAGCCCAATTTTTTTTTGCGTTTCAGGTCTCCTTTAAGAGCAGAGACAACCATGACCCAGCAGTTTTGGAGGTAGAGGCAAGTAAATGTTTTACTTCTTGTAAACATTCCAGTGCATTTTTTCAAATCACCTATAATTTGAGGAGACCCTGACTGGAAAAGAATTACAACCCTCTCTTCCGTAAATGGTGCGTTGGCTTAGTATGCCTGATGTGAGGAGCTTTTATTGATTGCTGACAGGTGTGTCACATCAATGCAATATTTCACTGGTGTAAAAATACACAACTTTAATATTAGCAAGGTTTTTGTGATAATGGTTGCTGAATTTTTGTCTTTTGAACCTATGTTCAAAATGTAAATGGAGTTGTTCATCACAGTGATTTTGTTTAAAAGAAAAAATGTGGCTGATATTTGCTGTCTCCAATGGCTGGTGTTCAAATTGGCTCTTCAGCATTCTCAACAACCTCTTATATACTGGATCTAAACCTGTAATTATTTCTATGCTGGGGACATTTCTGAGAGTTCTTGTTGAATTTCTCCTGAAGGTATCACTTGTGTTCTTAAATTAGTATTTTTGCATTTTTCTGAAGGGTGTATTGGAGGCACAGAGAGGAATTATCCGTCTGCATTGCTGAAGTTTTAAATATCAGTCAGTCTCTGACTGCTACTAATCATCTGGAAATTTGATGCCTTCAGGTATCTCAGGCTGTAGTTCCAGAGCTGGTCTTACAACAGTTGAAGTCAGTACTTGCTGTTCAGTACCACTTGCACAGCCTTGGCTAGGCATACTTTCTCTCTGCCTTGTGACAGTCACTGGTGATTTAAATGACTGTGATGACCTGCTTCAGTGCTAAACCAGGTGGAAACTAAAGCTGGAAACTTCCTCTTGATTTTGAGAGCCATGGACTGGATCACAAGCATGTCAAGGTGGGACTAGCATTGCTGACTTACAATAGCTTAAACTGTTGTGTGGTTATGGGCTTTAGGCAAAGTTCAGTAATTGTTCTTGCATTAGTTGAGCTGGATGACTGTGGCTTCTTGACATGCTGTAGAGGTGATGCTTTTTGTATCTTCAGATAATAAATGCAGGGTCCCGAGATAATTTTTTCGTCACAAAATATGGTACAGGCTTGAAATACTCATTCTCTCCACCACTGTTGATCTTTTTGCTGGGCTTAATTTTCTTATTTAAAGATGCATACATTTGAAACATCAGAGTTTTTTAACTATGAATGATACTAGATGGGTGCTAAGAACTGGGGAAGCAAAGCTGTGATACTGTACACCTTGGGTTTAGTTCTTTGAAATATCAGAGTTGTTTTTTGGGGAAGGGCTAGAGTTTTTTTGTGGTTTTGGTGTCTTTTTCCTGTTTGAAAGTAGTGAAGTTAATTTGTTACGCATCTGGATGAATTCTTAATCATAATACAGTGCAAAGGTTAAAATGTACTAGTGAATACTTTGACATGGTTTAATTTTTGTTGGCAGCCTACAGTTGTAACATGGAGAATAAGTAGCGTGCTGATGCTTTTAATTGTTACTGCCTTTCTTTGAATGCTTTGTAAAGAACCTTCTTCAAACCTTTTCATTTAGAAAAGTACCTTTTTTTTTTCCCTTCCTCTTGCTTATTGTAAACAAAAAGAGGCAATTTAAATTGTTTCATGACAGGTTACATGTATTTGGGACAGTTTTTCTCAATTTCTCTTTTGGGGTGGTGGGGTGGGAATGCGCAATATTAGAGGGTTGGTTACAGTGTGGACAAGAAGGAAGCCAGATTTTGGCCAGCTAATATAAGAGTATAGTTCCAGGGATTAAAAAGTTTTGCTAGTTAATAAGCTATACTAACCCAAACTAATACCTGTGCCAGTTTGAGAAGGGAGAGGAGGGAAAAAAAAATGTGGCCAGGTCAGGAAGTGGGAGGTCAGCACCTGTTGGTTGGCAGTAAATCTATGTCATCTGTTGAAAATGCCTTTTGAACAAAGGGATTATTCTTGTGCTTTCCTGAAGAGTAGGAAACACTTAGGATGAAGGAAGACACCTTTCTTCCACCCATCTCTCTAGGATGTGAGCAGAGCGTGTAATTATTTTTATCCCCAATTCATGCATAATTCTGTGTTATTTTCTAAGATGGATGCATGAAACTACTGTAGAACATAAGAAAGGCATGCACGTAATGACCTTTTTTCCCAGCCTTATTATCTTTGACTTCTGTTACTCAGAAATCATATTAATTTAAACTGTAGAACTTTTTGGTTTGATTTTTTTTTTTTTTCCTTGTGAGTAGGTAACTGTGCAATCTCAAACTGTATGTAATGGACTTTTTAACAAAACAAGCTTGGAACTTGCCTGCTGAAGAGTAGAAGCAGTTATTCTTTTTGGTAACTCTTCTGATAATATACTGGAATCTCTTAAAAATTACTCACTTTAAATGTCTTCAGACTTGGTTAACCCAGCAAGTATTTCCTTTGCTTCTGTGGCTTCATAGTGCACTAACATTCTGTTTGGTTCTTTTAATCTGTCCAGTGTGTATTCATTATATTTCTCTCTTTCACTAATACCTTTGTTTAGCCTTGGGACATGACTATATCTGTCTGTGCTTCTCTTTGTGCACTGTGTTGAAAAAGCAGAACTTGAAATTTTGCATAATTAAGTCAGTCACAATTTTTCATGTTATGGTGACTTGCAGTGGAGCTCGATAATTTGGTTAGTTGTGGTTTTTATTCAGTTTGCACTGTTTTACTCAAAATCTTGCAAATGAAAATGTCAGCAGATTCACTATTCAATGATCTTTTAAAAAAATTACTTTTCATTGTTGAATATTGCTGTACATTTTTCCAAAATCTGTGGGCTTCAAAAAGTTAGTGTGAAACCGGATGTCTCTCTTAAAGTATGATGTCTTCTAAACAGCAGTTATAGGACTGCTAATTGAAAGTGATCTTGAAGGATGTATGTCTAGACATTCTCTCCTAAGACTGGTATACATGTATGCAGAGTAAAAAAATCATAATACCTGACTTTGAATTAAAGCTTTCACTTTCTTCTGTCACTCATTGATGTCACATGAGAGGTAAAGGGGGATACCAAGCCTGAAGCTCTGGCACCTATATACTGTAGAAAAGGCATCCCTAATACATTATCAGCAGTATTCTTGAGCCATTTAATAACTGTTGCCAAGCTGGCACTCAGTTACAGAGTCTTTAACTGTCACGGCTATTACTAAATTTTAATCAGGCCTTGAGAACACATGCCACATGCTGGATACCCCTTCTTCTGCAGTTGTTATAATCAGAGCTGTTGGATGAAATCAGTCTTAAAGACTGTAACAGTGGTGACACTTTTGAGTTACCTAGGTGGTAACTTGGGTGTGTCAAATCACATATAATTGTACCAAGGATTGGAGGCAACTGGTGCAATAAAACAATATAATTACAGACTGTGTACAAGGTTTCAGCCATAAATACACAGAAAGTTTGTCTGCTGAGATTATTTGAGGCAGTAGTTCTGAATTCTTTCAAGGGCTCAGCTTAAATTCATTGGCTAATACTTATTGTCAGTTCTGTACTCAGTTCAAACTTGGGTAGCTTTCTATATTCTCTATAACAAAACATTGTTTTATTTTTGAAGTAGAAATATGTTTCATTTCCTTTACTTTCTTGCATGTTACTTCTGTCTTGAACTGATGTCTGGGTTATATGTTTAGAAATACAATTTGTTTTGTATTGTTGCAACAGAATAAATATGGATTTCATCTGATGAAATCCATCCGCAGGTCCTGAAGGAGCTGGCGAATGAAGTTGCTAAGCCACTGTCCTTCATATTTGAAAAATCATGGCAGTCAGGTAAAGTTCCCAACGACTGGGAAAAGGGAAATATAACCCCCATTTTCAAGAAGGGGAAAATGGATGACCCGGGGAATTACAGACCAGTCAGTCTCACCTCTGTGCCTGGCAAAATCTTGGAGCAGATTCTCCTGGAAGGCATGCTAAGGCACATGAAAAACAACAAGGTGCTTGGTGACAGCCAGCATGGCTTCACTAAGGGGAAATCCTGCCTGACCAATTTGGTGGCCTTCTATGATGGGGCTACAGAACTGATGGACAGGGGTAGAGCAGTTGATGTCGCCTACCTGGACTTGTGTAAAGCGTTTGACACTGTCCCACACGACATCCTTGTCTCTAAATTGGAGAGACATCAATTTGATGGATGGACCACTCAGTGGATAAAGAACTGGCTGGATGGCCGCACACAAAGAGTTGTGGTCAATGGCTCAATGTCTGGCTGGAGACCAGTAACAAATGGTGTCCCTCAGGGATCAGTGTTGGGACCGGTCTTGTTCAACATATTTGTCAGTGACATGGACAGTGGGATTGAGTGCACCCTCAGCAAGTCTGACAATGACACCAAGCTGTGTGGTTCAGTTGATACGCTGGAGGGAAGGAATGCTGTCGAGAGGGACCTTGACACGCTTGTGAGGTGGGCTGATGCCAGCCTCATGAAGTTTAACCATGCCAAGTGCAAGGTCATACACCTGGGTTGGAGCAATCCCAGGCACAGCTACAGGTTGGGCAGAGAAGAGATTCAGAGCAGCCCTGTGGAGAAGGACTTGGGGGTGTTGGTCAATGAGAAAATGAACATGAGCCGGCTTCAGTGTGCGCTCGCAGCCCAGAAAGCCAACCGTATCCTGGGCTGCATTAGAAGGAGTGTGACCAGCAGGTCAAAGGAGGTGATTCTGCCCCTTTACTCTGCTCTTGTGAGACCTCACCTGGAGTATTGTGTGCAGTTCTGGTGTCCTCAACATAAAAAGGACATGGAACTGTTGGAACAAGTCCAGGGAAGGGCCACGAGGATGATCAGGGGACTGGAGCACCTCCTGTGTGAAGACAGGCTGAGGAAGTTGGAGCCTTTTCAGCCTGGAGAGGAGAGGGCTGTGTGGAGACCTCATAGCAGCCTTCCAGTATCTGAAGGGGGCCTATAGGGATGCTGGTGAGGGACTCTTCATTAGGGACTGTTAGTGACAGGACAAGGGGTAACGGGTTAAAACTTAAACAGGGGAAGTTTAGGTTGGATATAAGGTGTAATTATTTT